AAATACCCCAGAATCTCTACTTGTATAGAAAATGCACTTATTATTAAGACCCACCACTGACCCGGAAATGACCGGCATTCAGGCAAGATTTCTATTAAATTTGCAAAATGCGTGTTCCCAGACTAGTACTAATAGATCGGAAAATGTATTTGATTTTATTTTGAAGTTGCCGTCACTTCCGGATAAACTGCGAAACATAAAATAAACAATTTTAGTACACGCAAGAACTAAAAAAGGTTTATACTTTTTAGGAGCGACAGTCAGATAAGTTAATAATAGAAAAAATAGTAATATACAGGGTGTTTCATTTAACTGATTCCTCGAAAATACCCCAAAATCCCAACGTCCACTTTGAAACAGTATAAATTTAATTATATCCACTCCGGTTTCGTCGGAAATGAAAACAACTTTTGCTTTTTAATTGATAATATTTTTGAGTATGTAGGATGTAAAAATTCCCTTTTAACATTTTTCGAAACAGTGTATTGTATAAAAAAAAAACACACAAATTTTCAATTAACTTTAATGGAACATTTGGAATGAAACATTCTGTATAAATGTTTGGGTATTTTTTAATACTGTTCAAAAGTGGATCAGAAAATTGTCTTTCTTATCGATATTTGTTAAAAAATTCAGATTTTTTGGCCCGTAAAATGTAGACGTTTAGGTTTTTTGCAATATTATTTAAAAAAAGAAGTACCTAGTTAACATTATATTCAGTTAAATTTGCAAGATGCGTGTTTCCAGACTGGTACTAGTAGATCGGAAAATGTATTTGATTTTATTTTGAAGTTGCCGTCACTTCCGGGTAAACTGTGGAACATAAAAGAAACAATATTAGTACACACAAGAACAACAAAAAAAAACGGTTTGTCCTTTTTAGAAGCGACAGTCAGATAAGGTAATAATATAAAAAAGTAATATACAGGACCCCAGAAACCCTACTTGTATAGAAAATGCATTTATTATGAACAGCTTATAAAATAACGTCCCGGTTTCGTCGGAAATGAATACAACTTTTGTTTTTTAATTGATAATATTTTTGAGTATGTAGGATGTAAAAATTCTCTTTTAACATTTTTTGGAACAGTGTATTGTATGTAAAAAAACAATTTGTGAAGTAATTAAGTTGAGGTGAAACATTCTGTATAAATTTACATTTATGGGTATATTTTTTATTCTGTTCAAAAAAGAAAGATCAGAAAATTGCATTTCCCTTCCATATTCGTTAAAAAATTCAGATTTTGATACCCATAAAATTTAGATATTTAAGGTTTTTTCAATATTATTAAAAAAAATACCTGGTTAACATTATATTCAGTTAAATTTGCAAAAAACGTGTTCCCAGACTAGTACTAGTAGATCGGAAAATGATTATTTGAATTTATTTTGAAGTTGCCGTCACTTCCAACTAAATTGTAGAACATAAAAGAAACAATTTTAGTATACACAAGAACAAAAAAAAAAAACCGGTTTGTCCTTTTTAGAAGCGCTAGTTAGATAAGGTAATGAAAAAAAATATATAGATATATACAGGGTGTTTCATTTAACTGTAACTGATACGTCGGAAACGTATGTAGGATGTAAAAATTATTTCTTAACAGTCTTCGGAACTCTGTATTGTATAAAAAAAAAACACAAATTGTGAAGTAATTTTTGATGTACCGGTTGAAGTCGAACATTCTGTTTAGATGTAGAAATTTTTGGATATTTTTTTAATACTGTTAAAATGTATGTGGCTTTATTTTGAAGTTGTCATCACTTCCGGATAAACTATCGAACATAAAAGGAACAGTTTTAGTACACACAAGAACACAAAACATTTTGTCCATTTTAGAAGCAATATTCAGACAAGTAAATGATATAAAAATAGTAATATACAGGGTGTTTAATTTAAATTATTCTTTAGAAACACCCCAAAATTGATGTTTGTACAAAAAATATATTTATTATGGACAAGTTACAAGATAACGTCTATTTTGAAACAATATAAATTTAATTATCGCCACTCCGGTTTCGTCGGAAATGAACACAACTTTTGTTTTTCAATTGATAATAATTTTGAGTATGTAGGATGTAAACATTTCTTTTTAACATTTTTCAGAACTCTGTATTGTATAAAAAAAAAACACAATTTGTGAAATAATATTAATGGAACAGTTGAGGTGAAACATTCTGTATAAATGTAGAAATATTTGGATATATTTTTTAATACTTTTCAAAAGTAGATCAGAAGATTGTATTTCCCTTCCATATTCGTTAAAAAAATTCAGATTAAATGTAGATATTTAGGGTCTTTTTCACTATTAGTTAAAAAAATAGAACTTCGTTAACATTATATGCAGTTAAATTTGCAAAAAGTGTCTTCCTAGATAAGTAGTAATAGATCGGCAATGTATTTGATTTTATTTTGAAGTTGTCGTCACTTCCGGATAAATTGTGAAACATAAAATGAACAGTTTTACTACACACAACAATACACAACAGTTTGTCAATTTAAGAAGCGATATTCCGACAAAGTAATGATGTAAAAATAGTAATATACAGGCTGTTTCATTTAAATTATTCGTCGGAAACACCCCCAAATTTCTACTTCTACAGAAAATGCATCTATTATCGACGACTTACAAAATAACGTCTAGTTTGAAACAATATAAATTTCGATTTCATCGGAAATGAACACAACTTTTGTTTTTTAATTGATAATAATTCATGTACATCGGTTGTAAAAATTCCTTTTTAACATTCATCGGAATGTATAAAAAAACATATTTTTTAGGTAATTTGAATGAGTTGACGTAAAACGTTCTTGACACAACAAACACATTTTTGAAAGTTGTTTTTAATATAGTTCAAAAGTAAATAAATTTTCTTGTCCATAAAATGTAGATATTTAGGGTTTTTTCCCTATTGTTAAAAAATAGAACTTAGTTATCATTATATTCAGTTAAATTTGCAAAAACTGTCGTCCCAGACTAATACTAGGAGATCGAAAAATATATTTGATTTTATTCTGAAGTTGTCATCATTTCCGACTAAAATGGAACATAAAAGGAACGATTTTAGTACACACAAGATCAAACAACAGTTTGTCTTTTTTAGAAGTGATATTCTTACAAAGCAACGACAAAAAATAGTAATATACAGCGTGTTTCATTTAAATGATTCGTCGAAAATACCCCAAAATAATTTTATTAACGTCAATTTTGAAACTATATAATTTTAATTATAGCCCTCCGATTCCTCTGGAGATGAACACATCTTTTTTTTTTAATTTATAATACACTTTCTTGAAAACATTATCTAATACAGTTACAATTTCCATCATTTTACAAAATTTTTAAGAACGTAGGATCCAAGAATTCCTTTTTAACATTGTTCAAAACTCTATACTGTGTAAAAAAAAACACAGGTTCTGAAGTAATTTTAATGGACCAGTTGAGGTGAAACATTCTGTATAAATGTAAAATTGTAGAAAATACCAGTGTGTGATTTTTAAATTTAGAAATATAATTAACTGTTTTTTCGCATTGTTAATAATTATCATTATTTGTCAAAGTATGAACATTAGAGCTCGAATGTTGCGTTAATAGGAAGATTTCCCCTTTTTAGAAGCGATATACGGCCAAGGTAATGATATAAAAAAATTGTATATACAGGGTGTTTCATTTAATTGATTCGTCGAAAATACCCCAAAATATTTATTTGTATAGGAAATGCATTTCGGAGAAGAAATTTACAAAATAACGTTAATTTCGAAACTGAATAATTTTAATTACAACCTTCCGGTTCCGCTGGAAATGAAGACATCTTTTTTATTTATTTATAATACTTTTTCTTGAAAACATTCTGTAATACAGTGACATCAAATTTTCATCACTTTACAAAATTTTTAAGGACGTAGGATCTAAGAATTTCTTTTTAACATTTTTCAAAACTCTGTACTGTGTAAAAAAAAAACACAGCTTCTGAAGTAGTTTTAATGGACCAATTGAGGTGAAACATTCTGTATAAATGTAGAATTGTAGAAAACACGAATAATGTGATTTTTAAATTCAGCAATTTAATTAACTGTTTTTCCGCATTATTTCTCGAAATATGAACATTAGAGCTGGAATGCTGCATTAATAGAAAGATTTGCCCTTTTTAGAAGCGATATACGGGCAAGGTAATGATATAAAAAAAAATGTAATACATATACAGGGTGTGTCATTTAACTGATTCGTTGAAAATACCCCCAAAATATTTATTTGCATAGGAAATGCATTTTAAGTATAGCCTTTCGGTTCCGCTGGAAATGAAAGACATCTTTTTTAAATTTATAACACTTTTTCTTGAAAACACAACAAAACACAAAGTTTTTTTTTGAGTACGTAGGATTTAAGAATTTCTTTTTAACATTATTCTTAACTCTGTATTGTGTAAAAAAGATCAAAATTTTGTACGTAATTTTAATGAAGCAGTTGAGGTGAAGCAGTCTGTATAAATGCTGAATTGTTGAAAATACGGATAATGTGATTTTTAAATTTACCAATTAAATTATATATACAATATTTTCGCATTTTTGTTAATTATTATTTGTCGAAATATGAGCGTTAGAGCTCCAGTGCTGCACTAATCGAAATATATTGTAACATTATGAACCATGACAAGTTTTGCTCAAAATTCGAATTGGACAACTTTTTGACATTTACGGTTTGATAAATATAGATGCAGACACGACTCTATAATCTATGTCTATAATATTTCTGTATTATATTAGATTTGTTGCCAAAGTATTGTAAAATAAGTAAAAACGACATTGAAACAAGTAGAACAAAAGTTTTTCTCAATTTGGCCTACAGTTGTTAATTTAAGACCAAACATTAAATTAATTCTGACAAAGGCGAACCCAATTAATACGATAAAAACTTCGCAAAGGACATACTTAATTTTAATTTAATCTCAGTTATAAGTTTGAACTGTATCCAGTGCTCAACGCTTTATTTTACCTGTATATATTTTAATTTATTAATCTTGTATTTTATTTTATCACCATTTTATACAAAGCCTTTATGTGATCAATAAACAAAAAATATAACAACGTGTTTTTTAAACATACAAAATTAAGCCCTTAACTTGGCCAACTGTGCCTCAATTTCCTCATCAGTAAGGCCATTGTTGGTTTTGGAACTTTCCCCAATCCTTCCTTTTTCAGGCAGAGGCGCCCCCGCCATTTTCCCGCTAACTTCAATACCGATTTCGTCCAGAACTTGATTGATAATGTGGTCGCTTTCCTCTTCGTCGCCGGATTCTGACAAAATGTCGTCTAAGGCATCATTTACTAAAAAAAAAAACATGAATAAAAATATGTTCTTGTTTTAAAACATTAACTCACTCATTTCGTCCGTCATATCCATTTTCATTGACTCTTTAGTAAACGCGTTCACATTAGCTGCTATTTGTTCAGGTTTCATTATCCGGTTCATGTCGGACATGGTTTTTCCGGCGACCCCCATGGCGTTGGCCAGTTTAACGTTAGCCCCCATTGACTTGTTCTGCGCGGAGATCCCTCTCACTTTGCTGGTAGCTGCATATGATCTATTTTTCTGCTTACGTAGTTGTACAAGTTGTTTTGCGAGTAATCTACAGCCTTCATTGTTTCCCTCTTTGGCTAACTTTTTAATCTCTAGTTCCTACAAACAGACGGTGAATTGTGTCAATTATTTTATGTTTTGTTTACCAATTTCTTTTCTTCTCGGTCGAGTTCTCGACGATCCCTTTCCAAATCTCGCCCCACTTTACGTAGTTGTCGGTCCACTTGCCGCTGTTCCTCTGAAATAAATTAAATTGGTGATTTTTCGTAATTAGGTTTGTGTTACCTTTGGGATCCGGTTTTGAGAAGAAGTTGAACATTGTGGAGGATTGTTATTGATTATGAGTCATTGCTAGAATTGACGTTCGTTTAAAATGGACAAGTGGGGTTATGTATGAATTGCGTGTGTCGGTAATGCAGGGATCTGGATTACTTTTAGGGTTTTTCGGACAGATGACGCAACCATATTTATCGCGATCAGTGACAGACGAAGTTTTGAAAACTTAATTTGTGCTTTGTTTTACCAAAAAACACATTTTTGGAAGTTTGTTTTTACGTGTTTAGTGCAATGTGGCTTCAAGAAGGACGAAAACATACAGGGTGAGTCAATTACGATTTTCTAAATTTAAAATGACATATCTACGTAACAATCGAACGTTTTGTCAAATTTTAAAAAACACACAGTAGATGTGTTTATTTATTATTTTTATTGTCTAAATTTGCAACTAAAACGTAACAGTGTTATAGTTTTCGTTACAACAGTTACTTAAAATCGTCATATTTTATGAATAAAAAACACGATCAAAAGCAGCCATGTTTTTTTGACAATTTGTCTTTGATAGATTCATTTTATAATCAAACTTGACATTTGCGGACGCAATGCCACAAACCTAAACAGCTTTTAGTCGCTAATTGGGAAAAAATTCCTTTAGCTAATATCCTCCACTCTATATGCTGCAATAGGAAACGCAAATACAAAGAAACAAGCCTAAACCTTGTCCGATTTTCTATTTACCATCCAACATCATTTTCACTCGAACAAACGTTCTGTATGCCGACCAAACACCTTGCCCATTGTAAACGCTTCTAAATGAACACATAAAACCCGCTAATATTATCTGAAATCTGTGTCGGTTACTTTATGAACTGTGAAGACATTAATTTTGCACATTTCTATGAGTCTGACAGGAAAACCAGTCCTGAAATTTATACGTCTTTAATGCGCTGCGATGCAGTCTTACGATAAAAATGATGAAAAGAGGAGATGTTTGTGTTTGTACAAAAGGTGTCACTTTCGCCATGGCGTTACCTGGCGGTTTCAACCCTCACTTGAATTATTTATTTATTCGGGTGGAAAGGATTCGGTCCGAGTGTTGTGTTACGGGGAAAAAATAGCCCATTGTTGGAAAGGCATGGGAACGCAGTTTGGGAGGTAGAAACAGGTGTGGAAATGTGTGGTTTGAGGAAAGGGTGCATGGGAGTTTTGCGAATGGGTTAAGAAATGGGCAGGTGGATGTGTGTATGGAACTAAATTATGGGAAAAAGTGTGAAAAATAAATATCCTTCAAGATCAATTTTGTTCGTCAATAATGTGAGAAATTTCGTACGATGTTGCCATTTCGTTAAAAGCACTTCGAATTTCCGAAGAGTAAAAATTTAATTTTTTCCGTTTCTTTTGACTCGTTGAAACCACAAGCGTGAAATAGCTCCCAATAACTTACATAGCAAAACGTATTTACTCACTCAAGACGTTCGTATTTTTCAGATTTCCGCACTAATTTTCGCGGAAATTACACATTCCTGCTATAATAAATATCATTTCGAATTACACGGCCCCATGGAATTTTATGTTACTATTTTAACGGTCTTCTCTCAACGGCCACCATTAAAGTTCCTGAACCAAATGCATTTTTCGCATTGTTCCTAGATCGCTGGCGAATGCCACCAGACATTGTTCCGTGCTCTTTAATTTTTATGTGCGAACTATCGAATGACATACCTCTATAATTTCAAACCATCATCAAAAAACAAGCGCAAATTGCTTGTAATTAATAGCGTTTTCATTAAACGTAATTTATGCAGGTATTCTAAACCCGTTGTAGTACGATTCACACACATTAGCGGAAGGCGTGTGATTCAAAGCGAAAAATGGTCTTTCGGAAATACGAAAAAATTACGAGAATTACGGGCGGTAATTTAGAGGTACTAATATTTGGACACGTCGAGAGGATTTTGTGAGTACCGGTTCCGAAATTACAAAACAATAATCGCCATTATGTTGGACGCGATAAGGTTTTTACAATAGCAGCGCTCAAATCTTAATTTAGAACACCTGTTATTATTTACTTTTCAAGGAAGAGAGGCTTAATAGATCACAGATTGGCCTTCCCAACAATCAGGCCCATTATGGTCATTACGGAGACCACCATATTTAATATTTATCGAGGATGAATAAGCAGAACGGCCATTTGCACAGTGTGAAATAATTCGAGGTTTGAGCATGGGTGGCTAATTTGACAAAAATGTAAAATCTGCGTTGAGTGTCGTTTAAGCGTGGTCTTCAGGGTTAAATTGTCCCTTGATTGTGCATTGAAGTCACAAGTTTTCGAAGATTTTGACTTGTGTTGCCAATTCGTTACAAGTAGTGTGAATTCCTGAACAAGTTATTTTGCGGCTTATTGTGGATACTTTGTAGACTGCTGTAAATTTCGTACTAAAGTATATTGAAAACATTAATTTGTTTCTGCGTTAGAAAAATTAAAGTTGTTTTCATTTTTGATGAAACCGTGACTATTATAGTCCAATTTATGATTATTCAACTTAGATATTAAATTGTAAGTTTTCAATTAAATTTAAACTTACGAAATCAGTGTAGAAAAAACAGCCTACATATTCTTTAAAAGAGAAAATTCGGCGTTAATCCGTGCTGTCATTGATTTTTGCATGTCCGTTTGTCTGTCCGTTTTCTAAAAATTTGAAAAACGGTGAAGAATAGGGCTAGAGATGAAGTGACGATAAAATCTTCTCTTCAAACTTTCATTATCACCGAAAATGAATAGTGGACTTAAATGTCAAATTAATGGTAGTAGTAGGTAACGACAGAATAAGTACTTAGTTTTAATAAATTGGTAGAATACACTAATCGTTTTGCTCAAGAATTCTTTTCTGTTTTTGTGTCGTGTTTTTGAAATAAGGAAAATCACTCAAATTGGCAGCTCTGATTTTCATAATAAAAGTCATAAAAACTGCCTTTCATATGAGAAATTTTGTGCTTGTGTTGCCAATTCGTTAAAGTATCTTGAATTCCCGAAGCAGTTATTATTAGAATTTTGGGTGGTTTATCAAAAATTCCTTGTGGTTCTTGCACTTGGTCAGTTGTAAATTTCATATTTACGTATTATGGTAACAATAATTTGTAGCTTCCTTGAGAAAAGTTAAAGTTGTTTTCATTTTCGGTGAATCCGTAAAGGTCGATTTATAAACTTAAATTTTTGTAGAAAAGGTCGATTTTGCAATTGGGCTCCGCCCCTGGGTCTGACAACGAATGAAAAATGTGTCATAAATGAGCTTGGGATGGATATGGGTGGGGCTTAATTTTTGGCTTCTTAGTATGCATCATAGTATTCTTTGAACAACACGATACTCAGAAATCTCTTGTAGAGAACTAAGGACTTTGCATTAAGCTCCGCCCCCTTCGCTTGCGACGAATACAAAAATCATCACAATTGAGATAGGGCGGGTGGGCAAGACTTATTTTGCCTTGTTTTCTTAATATGTGTAGTCATCTTTTCACAATAGAAACTTAAAACATGTTTAAAAGGGTAAATTTGTATAGGGAAATATCGATTTTGCAATTACGCTCCGCCCCTCGGTCTGACAACGAATGAAATTCATCACGTTTGAGATCGAGACAGATGGGTGGGGCTTCTCTTTTGGTTTTCTTTTGTATAACATAATTACTTAAGAACATATTTCACATGCTAATTTCTCGTAGAAAAATAAGAATTTTACAATTAAGCTTCGCCCCAAAAAAGACTCACGACGAATATAAGAAATCATCAGAATTGAGATAGGGCGGGTGGGCGGGGCTTATATTTTGCCTTTTTTTTTCTTTATATACATAGCCATCGTTTCACAACGAGAAATTAAAAAAAATGGTACATTTTTGCAAGGAAATATGGATTTTGCAATTGTGGGGCGGAGCTTAATTGCAAAATCGATACAGTATAACCTCGATAATCCGAATTAATTGGGAAAAGGTGTCGGATTAGCGATTTGTTCGGATCAGCGAATTTCCCAAAAACACTGAAAGGGAATTGAATAGCAACTTCATACACTTTTTTTAATTTTAGATGTAGATTTTAGGCCGCAGAAGTCACTTCTGGCTTCATTTCTTCTATAACTTAAACCGTTTTTCCAGAATCGTCCATTGAAATATCAAATTTCATACCGAATATTCCGAAAATATTGCTTCGTTACCATAAACATGCTATATTTTTGGAATCAGCACGTCGGGATCTATAACCCTGGAGCACTATACCGGGTGTCTGGAAAATGGCGGATTATTTGAATTTTTTCAGAATTTTTAGATAACTTTTTCAAAAATGAAATTTTACACTATACTACTTGCCAAATAACCTACCCTATAAGAAAATAAAAGGCGAGTGGGCCAGGCTAGTATTTGCCAAAATAAGACTCATTTTGACAAATGAGCTACTCTTCTAAGAAAGGTACTAGTGCCGCCCACCCACCCTTTTTTTTTTAGAAGAGTCGGTCATCTTCCAAAAACAGTCTAATCTTGGCAAGTATGAGACTGATTTTTGCAAATGACAGATCCTTTAAGAAAATAAGGGTGGGTGGGCGGGGGTAGTACTTGTCTAGATAACACTGATTTTGGCAGATGACTTATTCTTCTAAGAAAATAAAGGCTGCGTGGGTGGGGCAGTACTTGCTAAAAATAAAAAAATGACAAATTGAAAAATCGAATAAATGAAAAATCGGAAAATTGTACAACTGTATAATCGGAAAATCAAAAACTGAAATATGGAATTTAGTTTTTAGATTTTTCAACTTTTAAATCTTTCATTTGACAATTTGTTTGACAATTTTGCAGTTTTTAATTCCAATCGTCTGATTTTTCAGGTTTTAACTTTACAATTTTGGAGTTCTTTGATTTTTAATTTTTCAAGTTCTCAATTTAAAATTATTCCATTTCATGATTTGTCATTTTTCGATTTTTTAACTAAAAAAACAAATTTATTTGAACCGAAATTTTGAAAAACCGAAAAATTCAAAAATTGAAAATTAGAAACAACATTTTCATGTTTAAAAGATATGGTAAACATGGCAGATTACTTCCAAAAACGCGGTGACAAAAAATCAAAAATCGAAAATTAA